TGTACATGCTCACATGTGAACCAAACTTTACGTGCTTGATAACTGTCCCACCCCGCAGACATCTACACGCCAATACCGATTTATATTCATAGCGGCAAGTGCTATGTAGCTCCACATAGGGGACACAGGAAGTAACATAACACCTTCATGCGGCGTCATAACCGCGTAGCCGCACCGGCAGAGCTCCAGAATGTGCAACTCGGCCGGCTCACACGCGGACGCGCTTACAAGTGCGAGGGCCCGCCCAACGCTGCTTGCAGCTTTAATTTTATTTTATTTTTTTATTCTTCCGCCGCTAATTCCACTACTGCAGCCTAGACGGTAACTGCTAGGGACACGAAACTCATAGAGTAGGTACAAGCCCCTGCAAATAACTCAGGTGCAAAAATCCGCACACTTCTACCTCTAGGGGGCGCTATAAGCAAGGTCAACGCGTTTGGCCTTGGAATTCCCGCCTACGAAGGTGGATATCAAAAATCTAATATCCATGTGTTTGGGGGATTGAGCTGAATCTCGTGGTATAGGCCACGCGCATTTCCGCCTAAACTTTTTTTTCGCTACATCGCGAAAACTGAAAAACCTATTTTAATTAACTCCTCCGAAGCCGCAAGTCCAATCAACACCAAACTTGGCACGGATAATCTCTGGACCAAGCTTATGAAAGTTTGTAGAGGAAATTTTCATCCGACAAAAAATGTCACAATTATATGCTAGCAAACCTTTTGCAAAAAACACTACTAATAGCAAATGATGTCATATCTTCGCTTTGGAATGGCCGATCGACAACAAATTTGGAGCGTTAATGTGGGACGCCCCCCTGAGGGCCTCTGCAAAATTTGGTGCAACTTGCCTTTAGGGGGCGCTATTTAATCCAAGAAAATTGTTCCTCTATAACCACAAGTCACACTGACATGAAACGACTGCCAAATTCTTCAGCATGCTTCCCTTACTACAGGCACCAAACTTCACCCTAATATGCCCATAGGCGCTCTTATTGTAGATTAAAGTCATCAAAAAAAATCCCATTGATTTACATGCATTTTATATCACCATAACCACAAGTCCGATTGACACCAAATTTGGGTCAATTGTTCCCCATGGGGCCCTGATGACACCTGACAAATTTGGTGCACTTCAGCCAAAAGGTGGCGCTATAATCGAAGCTGAAATGCCGTGGAAAAGCACATTCAGTTGAATGGGATTTTCAACCATGGCACATGTTGCCTAGGTTTGGAATGGCCGATCAACACCAAACGTGGGGACCTTATGTGGCACGACTTCCCGAAGGGCTGTGTGAAATTTGGTGTCAATCGGCCTCTAGGTGGCTCTACTAACTGAATATCATATAACGCTCCCATAGACATCAATTCATTTTAAATCTTCATAATCGCAACACCCTTTCATTTCAAACTCTGGCAGTTTATTCCCCGCGGGTCCCCCGAGCCATGGCGGGGCGCCCTGGTCGACTCGCACGCCCTACGCGGGGCAAGGGGACGGTTTGCGCCGGGAGGCTTGGACCCTGCTTGCAGTTCTAGTTAGGGCCCGAGCACGACCGTGTGAGGTCCCTATTGAATTTGCTCGGATTATATATATATATATTTTTTTTTTTTTCTTTTTTCTGCAAAGTAGGCTCAACTGACATGGCCTAAACATTCTCGAAAACTCACCAAAATTTGCAAACATGTCAGAACCGGTGAAAAAATTCGTATTCTACAAGTTTCGCACATGGGCGTTGCAAAATGACTCGCTAGCGCCACCTAGAAAATTGGAAAAAATTAGCCCCTCGTTCACGTTCAACCTACATGTAGGAAATTTTCTGGGGACATGTATCATATCAAGACGCACAAAAAAGCCTCAAGAACCCATAGCCTAAAGTCAACAGGAAGTCGGCCATTTTGAATTTTACGGCCATTTTTGGATGATTTACACACTTCGTACTTTAACGAACTCCTCCTAGGGATTTAGTCCGACCGACCTCAAATTTCTGCTGTGCCTTCTAAAGGCATTGAAGATGAAAAGTTGTGTACACTACTGTAACTGTACATGTAGGATGAGAGTCTCGCCCTGAACACATGTACATGCTGACATTCACCCACAGTCATAGCGCCACCTGCTGGCAACAGGAAGTGACATTTAACGAAGCAGCCCCCGCCGCATGTTTCACCTACGTGCACGAATTTTCTGTGGTACGTGTATCTTGTCCAGACGCACAAAAAAGTCTCTTGGAGCCATAGCCGAAACCCAACAGGAAGTCGGCCATTTTGAATTTTACGTCAAATTTTGGATGATTTACACACTTCGTACTTTAACGAACTCCTCCTAGGGATTTAGTCCGACCGACCTCAAATTTCTGCTGTGCCTTCTAAAGGCATTGAAGATGAAAAGTTGTGCTATTTGCAAGTTTTCGTCAATGGGCGTGTCCGTGGCGTGGCGTCAAAGATCAACTCTTCGCCATGACACGGAAGTTGTCGTAGCTTCAGTGTACATGCTCACATCTGGACCAAACTGTACATGTAGGATGAGAGTCCCGCCCTGAACACATGTACATGCCGACATTCACCCACAGTCATAGCGCCACCTGCTGGCAACAGGAAGTGACTTTTAACGAAGCAGCCCCCGCCGCACGTTTCACCTACGTGCACGAATTTTCTGTGGTACGTGTATCTTGTCCAGACGCACAAAAAAGCCTCTTGGAGCGATGCCCTAAAATCAACAGGAAGTCGGCCATTTTGAATTTTACGTCAAATTTTGGATGATTTACACACTTCGTACTTTAACGAACTCCTCCTAGGGATTTAGTCCGACCGACTTCAAATTTGTGCTGTGCCTTCTAAAGGCATTGAAGATGAAAAGTTGTGCTATTTGCGAGTTTTCGTCAATGGGTGTGTCCGTGGCGTGGCGTCAGAGATCAAGTCTTCGCCATGACACAGGAAGTTGTTGTAACTTACGTGTACATGCTCACATCTGAACCAAACTTTACGTGCTTGATAACTCTCCCACCCTGCTATGGAGGACCGATCCTGACAGTCAGAAATAAATAAATGCTCAATAAATAAATAAGCATCCAATTAAATACACAAAAAAATAAAGTAAATAAATAAATGTAGGTAGTAATTAAATTATACAAGGAGACATAAATGTATATATTTTAATTAGTGCCTTTACTTATTCACCTTTGTTATAATTACCTTATTTGTTTATTCAACTTTATTTATTACTAATTTTTTTAATGTATTTATTTATGTGTGTTTTAATATTTTTATTCTTCCTTTGTATTTATTTACCTTATTTATTTTCACCCATGGTATTTATTTCTGCCTGTCTTTTTTAAATTTTTGTATGCATTTCTGCCTCATTATGCAAATGAGGAGGGGCTGTGTCTCAAGGGGTCATCTTCTCTGCTATTGGTGGACCAGTCAGACAGGAGAGCTCCTACTCTGCCTGCAGACATCAACGATCTTGCCCCTCACACAGTCAGATGGCTTCCTTCAGTGCGCTGAGGTGTTTAACAACTCTGAAGACAATACTACCAGCAATGTCTTCCTTCTCTTTTCACGTAGACGCTCCGACAGACAGTGCTTTCAGTTTGCTGCATGCATGGACACAGAACTGCGGTATAGGGAGAAGCACACGGTCAGCTGGCTGCAGCTAAATCTGGAGTGCACTCGTATTCAATTCTGTATGGTAAATTCAGTTTTAACGGAGCAGAGCGAGCTGACAGGCAGAGTTAGAGACTTTTTCTGTCCGTTTCTCTCTTTACAAAGACGCATGTTGCAGTCAGAGTCTTCTCTGAAGAGGGCAATGAAGTCTCAGTAGTACCCGATGCGAGCACCACACAATTTATCAAATTACACAACGGATATACAGTATGAAAATAAGATTGATTGGATTATACTCACAGGAAGTATAAAACCTGTTACATGTGTAACACAGTAATGTCAGGGAAATTACTTTACTTAGATTTAAGTACTGCAGTTGTACATTTGAAATACCTTCCTACCTTTCTGATAGGAAGCCTTCTTGAGGTGGTATAAAACATTTCTTCTTATATTCTGATTTGAGTTGTGGACAACTATGACCACATGAATTAAAAAAATTAAACATTTCACTGCCCAAGTCAGCTATAACACAAGTCTTGTTCATCAGACTACATGCTGTACAGTATTTGTGGACAGGATTTATTATGCATTTCTTCTTCTTCATTGCATGATTTAGAATAATAAGGTGAGAAATGGGTCTATTCTGAGTTCATCCTGCACTGCAGCAGCTAATAAAGTCCATTTAATCCCAAAAACGCTTTTCTTTTAGGCAGGCTGGAGCAGAAAACAACTCACCTTTCTCAAGTTGTACAGTGATGTCACATGTGTATGAAGGTGGATCAAACAAGCTAATCTTAAATGTCAAAGTAGAGAGGAGCCTAGTAGGCCTATTTATTTTCATTCATTACACAATATGAATAAGCTATGCAGACAGTTGTAAAGAAAGAACATCTTTTTCTTCTGTTCTCTACTTGTTATAGTTACACAGTATTAGGGGTGTGGGCTGTATTAAAAGTATCCACTGTTCTCCCATGCTCTAACACACAGTAACGATGAAATGTGTGCTGTTCTCACATTCTCCCTCTGTATGTACACATAAACAACAAGGCAGGGAAATATAAAAGGAATTTATTTTATTGTTTGGGTACATTATTGTTCAGTGTACATGCTCACATCTGAAACAAACTTTACGTGCTTGATAACTCTCCCACCCCGCAGACATCTACACACCAATACCGATTTATATTCATAGCGGCAAGTGCTATGTAGCTCCACATAGGGGACACAGGAAGTGACATATAACACCTTCATGCGGCGTCGGAACCGCGTAACAAATTCACAGCCGCACCGGCAGAGCTCCATAATGTGCAACTCGGCCGAGTCACGCGCAGACGCGCTACAAGTGCGAGGGCCCGCCCAACGCTGCTTGCAGCTTTAATTATGTTTATAATGGTTTTGCAGGAAACCCCTCATCCCTTGGCTGTGGTATGCACGTCAACTCCAGCGGAGGTCAGATGTACCAGCAGCAGGTCCACCAGGGCATACAGCAGGGGGTGGCCTCCCACCCAGCCTACCAGGGACAGCAGCACTTCTCTGACAACCCACCTTACACAGACAACAACAACACTAATGCTGGCTCCATGGCCTGCCTCTACCAGAACTACCAGGTGGGATGAGTTTTATTTTGGCTTCTGTAGCATTTCAAGATGTTTTAAAAAATTAGAAGTCATGTTGTGACGTTGCTGTTGTGTGCATAGCAGGGGATGTTGTCGCACCCACAGTTCGGGGAAGGGCAACAGCCCCAGGTTGAGGGGCTTCCAGCGTGTGCACCTGGCTCTGACAGGGGCCCAGGTGGAGGACCAGAGTCGGTGGACGCCATCTACAGGGCTGTGGTGGACGCCGCCAGCAAGGGCATGCATGTTACCATAACCACCACGGTGAGTGGGACCACGCAGGCGAGTTCAGTGCCTGCCCTCAGCGCCATGAGTGCCTTCACTGCCTCTTTAGGGGAGCCCGTCAACCTCCCCAAAGCCGTTAGCACAGTCCTGCATGGGCACTTGGAAGGGGAGGTGTTACCCCAACAAGCCAGGCCAAGGCAGGTGAGACTGGGACGGGGTCAGAAGAATATGGATCCAGGGAAGAGCACCCCAGACGGACCCGAGGCCAACGACTACTTCCGTTCTCCTGGCCGTGGAACCCCCAGGGGTCAGTGGGAGGGGGAGACGCAGCACGGAGGAGGCTTCGACCCTCATAGCAACAACAGCGCCTGGGGTGGTGAGGAGTTTCTGGAGTGCTCTACCCAAGTGAGGAGTAGTCCATGCATGGAGCGACCCGCCAGCCTCGCCCCCGCCCCACCCTGCCCCACTGAGGGGTCCAGCGACCATGGTCTCTCCATGGGCCATGATAAGGCCTTTCTCGATGATGGCTATCGCTTCAACAACTGCAGTCGGATACCTGCTAACTACAAGGAGCGTCTGGAGCAGATGGTGGAACGCTGCGCTCACATCAATGGTGCCACAACCCACTTCAACACCCGGTGTTACGGAGAAGTCCTGGGCCCCCCACGGCAGGAGCTGACGGGGGACGACCAGTCGCCCAGCTCATCCACTAGCCTGGAAGGGCCTCTGGCCACAGCCAAAGACTATAGTCACTACAACGGCCATTTCAACGGTATGGCGCCCAGCCCCTCGGACACAAAGAGCCTGAGCAGCGAGGAGGACCTGCGGCAGCCGGACTCTCCTTCCTCAGAACTGCTTCACTACCGGTCCAGGACCTTCAACATGGGAGAGCTGGTCTGGGGCCAGTTGAAGGGCTTCCCACCCTGGCCTGCCAAGTTGGCTGGGGACGAGCAAGTGCACAGCGCTGCTATGCAGCTGCGGGAGCAGGCCAAGGTGAGAAAAACGTCTATGACCACCTGTCATCATTTTATAAGACAACTTGAATTTTCAGACTAGATAAGACTGACGTGTGAGTGACGGCTACTTCAGTATTCTTAACAAACTTACCAGCCGGCAACATTCCCTATAAAGCCATATCTTAAGTTTTATAGATTCTTGTTACAGCTAATTATTTTCCTATGTAAAATGGATGCCTGCCAGAAAGGCAAGCTGACAGAATACGTTATATTTGACTGTAACCAAGTTTTCTCCCAATAGAAACCTATTGGAACACTGAAAAGTCAGAAGAAAACAAGCATTTTTGTCCACTGGCCATAGTGGCAGATGGATTCCAAAATGCTCCAAACTATTTCACCTGCCAAATCTGAATTTCAGAATAGAAAAGGTCTTACTAATGACTGCCAGATTAACTGATGGACAGTACAACAAATTCACCATCATTTTCTGGCTGTTGTCATTCTCAATATACTACCAAATGGTCCTTAATGTACACTGATGTTTTCTCTTGTCTCGATCCAGGTAGAGCCAGAGAAGCTGAAAACACTAACTCACGACTTTGACCGAGCCGCCAAAAGAGGCCTGAAGTAAGTATATATGCACACCATATTGTTGCTTTAGTAAAACAATTTTAAACATCACACTAGATGGTCTATGATTCTGTGCTGTATTTTAAACAAGCTGAAAGTTACAGGTTGCAGCTTAAATCTTATATCGTCTGTCTTGCTCATATTATTGCCTTATTGACCCTAAGCCACACCCTTAGTTACTGTTGCTACACATTTTAAGCTTTCCAGTTTAGCATTGCACATAGGCAGTTTGCAATGATAACTAGGGTTGGGTATCGTTTACAATTTTACGATACCAGAACCAAAACCAGTACCCTTTAAGTGATACTGAAACCAATATAGTACTTCATTTGATAACTTGTGTAAAATGCCACATAGTAGTTGATTAGTAGCATATTTAGGGCCCGAGCACGACCGTGCGAGGTCCCTATTGAATTTGTAAAGATTATATATTTAGGGCCCGAGCACGACCGTGTGAGGTCCCTATTGAATTTGTAAAGATTATATATATTATTAGGGCCCAAGCACGACCGTGTGAGGTCCCTATTGAATTTGCTAAGATTATTAGAGCCCGAGCACGACCGTGTGAGGTCCCTATTGAATTTGCTAAGATTATTAGGGCCCAAGCACGACCGTGTGAGGTCCCTATTGAATTTGCTAAGATATATATTTTTAGGGCCCGAGCACGACCGTGCGAGGTCCCTATTGAATTTGCTCAGATTATATATATATATTTTTTTTTTTTCTGCAAAGTAGGCTCAAATGACATGGCCTAAACATACTATAATATGCAACTCGGCCGGGTCACGTGCGGACGCGCTACAAGTGCGAGGGCCCGCCCACCGCTGCTTGCAGCTTTAATATATATATATATTTTTTTCTGCAAAGTAGGTTCAAATAACATGGCCTAAACATACTCAAAAACTCACCAAAATTTGCAAACATGTCAGAACCGGTGAAAAATTTCGTATTCTATAAGTTTTGCGCATGGGCGTGGCAAAATGACTCGCTAGCGCCACCTAGAAAATTGGAAAAGATTAGCCCCTCGTTCACGTTCAACCTACATGTACGAATTTTCTGGGGACATGTATCATATCAAGACGCACAAAAAAGCCTCAAGAACCCATACCCTAAAGTCAACAGGAAGTCGGCCATTTTGAATTTTAAGGCCATTTTTGGTTGATTTACACACTCCGTACTTGAACGAACTCCTCCTAGGGATTTAGTCGGATCGACGTCAAATTTCTGCTGTGCCTTCTAAAGGCATTGACGATGAAAAGTTGTGCTATTTGCGAGTTTTCGTCAATGAGCGTGTCCGTGGCGTCGATGATTCGCCATGAAACAGGAAGTTGTTGTAACTTCAGTGTACATGCTCACATCTGGACCAAAGTGTACATGTAGGATGAGAGTCCCGCCTTGAACACATGTCCATGCCGACATTCACCCACAGTCATAGCTCCACCTGCTGGCAACAGAAAGTGACTTTTAACGAAGCAGCCCCCGCCGCACGTTTCACCTACATGCACGAATTTTCTGTGGTACGTGTATCTTGTCCAGACGCACAAAAAAGCCTCTTGGAGCCATAGCCTAAACCCAACAGGAAGTCGGCCATTTTGAATTTCACGTCAAATTTTGGATGATTTACACACTTCGTACTTTAACGAACTCCTCCTAGGGATTTAGTCCGACCGACCTCAAATTTGTGCTGTGCCTTCTAAAGGCATTGAAGATGAAAAGTTGTGCTATTTGCAAGTTTTCGTCAATGGGCGTGTCCGTGGCGTGGCGTCAAAGATCAGCTCTTCGCCATGACACGGAAGTTGTCGTAACTTCAGTGTACATGCTCACATCTGGACCAAACTGTACATGTAGGATGAGAGTCCCGCCCTGAACACATGTACATGTCGACATTCACCCACAGTCATAGCGCCACCTGCTGGCAACAGAAAGTGACCTTTAACGAAGCAGCCCCCGCCGCACGTTTCACCTACGTGCACGAATTTTCTGTGGTACGTGTATCTTGTCCAGACGCACAAAAAAGTCTCTTGGAGCCATAGCCTAAACCAACAGGAAGTCGGCCATTTGAATTTTACGTCAAATTTTGGATGATTTACACACTTCGTACTTTAACGAACTCCTCCTAGGGATTTAGTCCGACCGACCTCAAATTTCTGCTGTGCCTTCTAAAGGCATTGAAAATGAAAAGTTGTGCTATTTGCAAGTTTTCGTCAATGGGCGTGTCCGTGGCGTGGCGTCAAAGATCAACTCTTCGCCATGACACGGAAGTTGTCGTAACTTCAGTGTACATGCTCACATCTGCACCAAACTGTACATGTAGGATGAGAGTCCCGCCCTGAACACATGTACATGCTGACATTCACCCACAGTCATAGCGCCACCTGCTGGCAACAGGAAGTGACTTTTAACGAAGCAGCCCCGCCCCACGTTTCACCTACGTGCACGAATTTTCTGTGGTACGTGTATCTTGTCCAGACGCACAAAAAAGCCTCTTGGAGCGATGCCCTAAAATCAACAGGAAGTCGGCCATTTTGAATTTTACGTCAAATTTTGGATGATTTACACACTTCGTACTTTAACTCTGAAGACAATACTACCAGCAATGTCTTCCTTCTCTTTTCACGTAGACGCTCCGACAGACAGTGCTTTCAGTTTGCTGCATGCATGGACACAGAACTGCGGTATAGGGAGAAGCACACGGTCAGCTGGCTGCAGCTAAATCTGGAGTGCACTCGTATTCAATTCTGTATGGTAAATTCAGTTTTAACGGAGCAGAGCGAGCTGACAGGCAGAGTTAGAGACTTTTTCTGTCTGTTTCTCTCTTTACAAAGACGCATGTTGCAGTCAGAGTCTTCTCTGAAGAGGGCAATGAAGTCTCAGTAGTACCCGATGCGAGCACCACATACAACACAATTTATCAAATTACACAACGGATATACAGTATGAAAATAAGATTGATTGGATTATACTCACAGGAAGTATAAAACCTGTTACATGCGTAACACAGTAATGTCAGGGAAATTACTTTACTTAGATTTAAGTACTGCAGTTGTACATTTGAAATACCTTCCTACCTTTCTGATAGGAAGCCTTCTTGAGGTGGTATAAAACATTTCTTCTTATATTCTGATTTGAGTGTGGACAACTATGACCACATGAATTAAAAAAATTAAACATTTCACTGCCCAAGTCAGCTATAACACAAGTCTTGTTCATTAGACTACATGCTGTACAGTATTTGTGGACAGATTTTGTCCAGGATTTATTATGCATTTCTTCTTCTTCGTTGCATGGTTTAGAATAATAAGGTGAGAAATGGGTCTATTCTGAGTTCATCCTGCACTGCAGCAGCTAAAAAAGTCCATTAATCCCAAAAACGCTTTCTTTTAGGCAGGCTGGAGCAGAAACACAGTAACGATGAAATGTGTGCTGTTCTCACATTCTTCCTCTGTATGTACACATAAACAACAAGGCAGGGAAATATAAAAGGAATTTATTTATTGTTTGGGTACATTATTGTTCAGTGTACATGGTCACATCTGAAACAAACTTTACGTGCTTGATAACTCTCCCACCCTGCAGACATCTACACGCCAATACCGATTTATATTCATAGCGGCAAGTGCTATGTAGCTCCACATAGGGGACACAGGAAGTGACATATAGCACCTTCATGCGGCGTCGGAACCGCGTAACAAATTCACAGCCGCCGGCTGAGCTCCAGAATATGCAACTCGGCCGGTTCACGCGCGGACGCGCTACAAGTGCGAGGGCCCGCCCAACGCTGCTTGCAGCTTTAATTAGGGCCGAGCACGACCGTGTGAGGTCCCTATTGAATTTGCTCGGATTATATATATATATATTTTTTTTTTTTTTCTGCAAAGTAGGCTCAATGACATGGCCTAAACATTCTCGAAAACTCACCAAAATTTGCAAACATGTCAGAACCGGTGAAAAATTTCGTATTCTACAAGTTTCGCACATGGGCGTTGCAAAATGACTCGCTAGCGCCACCTAGAAAATTGGAAAAAATTAGCCCCTCGTTCACGTTCAACCTACATGTAGGAAATTTTCTGGGGACATGTATCATATCAAGACGCACAAAAAGCCTCAAGAACCCATAGCCTAAAGTCAACAGGAAGTCGGCCATTTTGAATTTTACGGCCATTTTTGGATGATTTACACACTTCGTACTTTAACGAACTCCTCCTAGGGATTTAGTCGGATCGACGTCAAATTTCTGCTGTGCCTTCTAAAGGCATTGACGATGAAAAGTTGTGCTATTTGCGCGTTTTCGTCAATGGGCGTGTCCGTGGCGTCGATGATTCGCTATGAAACAGGAAGTTGTTGTAACTTCAGTGTACATGCTCACATCTCGACCAAACTGTACATCTAGGATGATAGTCCCGCCCTGAACACATGTACATGCCGACATTCACCCACAGTCATAGCGCCACCTGCTGGCAACAGAAAGTGACCTTTAACGAAGCAGCCCCCGCCGCATGTTTCACCTACGTGCACGAATTTTCTGTGGTACGTGTATCTTGTCCAGACGCACAAAAAAGTCTCTTGGAGCCATAGCCTAAACCCAACAGGAAGTCGGCCATTTTGAATTTTACGTCAAATTTTGGATGATTTACACACTTCGTACTTTAACGAACTCCTCCTAGGGATTTAGTCCGACCGACCTCAAATTTCTGCTGTGCCTTCTAAAGGCATTGAAGATGAAAAGTTGTGCTATTTGCAAGTTTTCGTCAATGGGCGTGTCCGTGGCGTGGCGTCAAAGATCAACTCTTCGCCATGACACGGAAGTTGTCGTAGCTTCAGTGTACATGCTCACATCTGGACCAAACTGTACATGTAGGATGAGAGTCCCGCCCTGAACACATGTACATGCTGATATTCACCCACAGTCATAGCGCCACCTGCTGGCAACAGGAAGTGACTTTTAACGAAGCAGCCCCCGCCGCAGTTTCACCTACGTGCACGAATTTTCTGTGGTACGTGTATCTTGTCCAGACG